GGCCGCCCGGTGACACGGCCTCCAGCCCCGCCGGGCCCTGGCCCGCGTCCCTCTGCCAGCCGGGGCAGCCCCTGAAGGAAGATCCCCGCACCGGGAGCCGCCTAACGTTAACGCGATTAACGTGAACGTCGGGCGGATCAGCCCGGGGTGCGGGGCGGGCTGGGTTGCGTTTCCTTTCAAGTTCAGGCGCCCACACCGAGCCCTGCTTTGACCGTCCCGCGGAGGGTCTGGGGGGAGCGTGCCGTGGCGGCCTCCGCCCGCGAGGCAGGACGGCGCGCCGCCGGCGTGGGGCGGTGAGGCGGCGGCGGTCCGCGGCTGCGAGCGGCAGCTACCCAGCAGCGGCAGCGAGCGCGGCACACCGCTTTCATCGAGCAGCAGCTTTCGCCCCGAAAAAAAAAAAGAGATGAAAAAATCGAGCACCTGAAAAAAGTCCTCGGGAAGGTTTCTTCCAAGAAACCAGAAAAAGTGAAAACGTTCCTTGTAAGTGTTGGAAAAAGTGGAAGCAGTGTTTTTCCAGATACGGTACTTTCCCACTTTAGGCAAGTGAGTTGGCACATGACCTGCTGGGATGTGGAAACCCATCTCCAACAAAAAAAAAAAAAAAAAAAAAAAAAACCTGGACATTTGCAAATGTCACCCTTTGGAAATATTATTCCCCTACTGTACCACAGAAAGTTTCCACCTGCAGGAGCTTCCAGTCATTGAACAAGTTAATTCAGTTGCAGACATCAACCATGAGAATTTGTCAAGTGTACGAGGAAGTAGCAAGTTTGTTTGCATGTAGTGGGAATTATTTTACCCATCTGCACAAGAACAACTGGGAAGGAGTCCAGGGATCAATCAACTGTCACCACTGGTGTTAATCTCTGGGCAGTACAGGTTTGTCCTGAAGAGTGCTTCCCCTTTCAAGAGTTCAACACATTTTAGAGACAAGTGAAATAAGGCTGAAACAAGACGTCACCAGTGGCTTTGGTTTCACAGTGAAAGCCAGGGCATCCTCCTGAATTCCCAACCATTCTCTCTTCACCTGGTGTCACAGCTCTTCAGAGAGAAGCACACATTTTCAAGTATTCATTAGCAGCACAGAAACTACATGGAGATGACCTTCTGCAAAAAGAAAACCTGTAGGTTAAAAGAGAATATATGTCTACATATTTGTATAGATAAATTGCAAATGAGAAATCAGCTGCCCCTGCTGCTGCTACAGCTTGCAGAGGCAGTGGGTGGTGGCTGGAGCTGGAGGGCCACGGGCTTCCCTGGCAGTTGGGCCTTCCCCCCCCGCTCCACCTCGGCCACTTTGGGGTCCCTCCCAGGCACTGCCCCAGCCCCACATCCAGCAGTGACCTTCCTGAGCCTGCATGAGCTCAGATAGCTGCTCCCCAGTGAAGCGTTCCTCTGCTGGACACTGATGACCCCCAAACACTGAAATTAGCTTATTATCATTTCAGGCTGTAGTCTGGAATGGTTTTTCCTCAGCTGGTTATCAAGATATATCCCAGTTAACAGCCTCCTGAGAGGTCTGAGGATGTGCCTAAACCAGCTGGCACACTAACTTGTTTCAGGAATAGCATATTAGTAAAATCTTCTTTTGCCTGTGTTTGTTTGCATTTTATTGATTTTTCTTTTCTTCCCCCTAATTAAAACAAAGTAGGACGTCATTTGAAATAATATCCTGATCTTCACTAGAGTGCCTACATGCTAGAGTAGTAAGAATAATCCATGAAATTGCTAAATTCTTATACTGCTAATGAGACATAAAAACCTCCCTTGATCTGCCAGATCAGCTAAGTTTGTTGTTATCTTCATCTAGTTGTCACCCTCCCAACTGATGGTTTTGGTTTTATCATCACAGGAAGGTGACAGAAGGGAAGGGAAAAAGAGAAGTGAGTGGAGCTTGCTACGAAAAACAGTGTGTTCAGCTGAAACCAACAACATTTTTAAGAACATTGGGGAGGGTAGCATTGTAGCGTCTGGTCTAGGCCTAGTCTGGGAATTAAATAGGGAATTGAATAATTCAGGGAATTAAATAGGATTGAACTCTCAAGAGTTTATACCATGCTAGTAGAATACAGATTTTAGGAGAAAGCCACAGGGACAGGGAGAGAGAAAGGGAATAAAATATGATGTATTTTTGCACTGGTTATGTTGCCTGAGTGATACTGCTGTTCCTCAACAAGCAATTTACAGAGAAATGCAGTAGATCCAACCAGCTTTTATAAACTGCTTTAATATGAGACATTACCTAAAGCTATTAAAGAAGTTTAAATTCCTGACATTCAAGGCTGGGTATACAACCCACGTGAAAATGGCAAAATACAACTGGTTTCTAGGAAAGTATCTATATAAAGTGCTCAGATAAAAATGGTAAGGGATTGTGAGGTGAATAATCTGTTGGACTAGATGGAGTTTGCTCACGGAAAAGGCAAATACGACCTACAATTTATGTGTGTATTGCTGAACAGGCTTGTTCAGTCTAGCAAAGTGAAGTGCCTCATGAAATAATAAGCAACTGTACAGAGAAGTGAGAAAAGGCAACAGAAAATTTTAGAACAAATGAGCAAAATGACCATAACTAATTTTCTCTTAGAAGTTAGAAGGCTTTTAATCTTCAGTAGAGGAGAGTTTTGGAACAAACTTCTAATGGATTTAGTGAATTCTAAATCTTTAGATGGAGCTTGATCAAATTATAATTAGGATAAGGACACGAGAACTGATTAACTAGGAGGTCTTTTTCTGATCCAAAGTTCCTGTGAAGTGGGAATGGGAAACTATATTCTAGGAAAAAACTGATGGGTAACTCAAAAGAATATCATAAAATTCATACTGGAATGCCTTGCAGAGAGATAAACAAGTATTTTAAATAAAAAAATTGCTAAATTTGTGCAAGGTTTATAAAATGTCACTGCCTTCTAACTTCACAGTGTTCTAGTTGATCAGCTACGGCTTCTGCACTCTCACAAGTCATAGTTCTCCTGTTGCATGGTATCGTGGCGTCACATTTTTGATCAGACATAAACCTACCATAGGAATGCTAGGTAAGACCTGTGGATTGAAGAAATAGAGTTGCCTTTTCAAAGTCTGAGAACTGCCATTCTCTGAATTGTGAAAGTTAGTTTTTGCCATCAGAGAAGGCAGATAAGGCAAAAAATGCATACTTAAAACATTTTTTTTTAAGCATCTTGAAGCCATCCCCTCTCATTTAAAAGACCAGCTGGTGCACAGACCCACTCTCACCTTCTAAGATTATCTCCCAGAAACATGGCACAACATTTTGTCAGTAAAATACTCGCTTTGAGTCTACCAGCTATAAAATAAGATGCAACATAGATTAACTGGGATCCTTACAACACATTTTCTGGGCAGCTTTTCAGTATTTTATCTCTACTACGGTAGCTCTCTCCACATCATTCTCTGTTATTTGGCCTAGGTCAGAATTCTCTCAAAGGAAGCTGTGAAAAAACAGTGCTACCTTTTTTAGTGAAGAATCTGCCTTTGTGTCTTCTTTTTTTTTTCCAGTGAAGAAAAGCCTTGAGTCTTGAATTCTTATCTACTTTATGGTATTTAAAGATGCAATTAACACCTCTACCAAGTATATTTCCCTGTTTTGAAGAGGCGCATGGATTGGGATATATTAGCACCCAGAGAGAGTCATAATAGAGTAGCAGTTAGCTTCCCTGTTTGGCTTACAGAACCAGGAATTCAATACATTAGTTATCTTTTCTCTTTACTATCGTCATTGTTTCATATTTCTAGTAAAATCTTAATTCCATTTAAGTCCTGATGATGTGTTTGTTTTGGAAACAATGTAAAATCAGCATTTTGATTGTGGGTAGTTTTCTATTTATTTATGCAAAAATTATCTGGTTTTGTTTGGTTTGGAACACATTTATTCTTCTGAAAGTGAACAAAGCAAACCTACAGCTGTGTAGTCTTCTGCTGTAGGATCTGAACTAGCTTAAAGTTATTTATTACTAAAGGTTATTTATTACTAAATTACATTGTGCCTCAGGGCAGTCATGTAATTCTGCCAACACAGCATTAACCTCTCTGCTTGTTTAGATTCTTGTATGTATGTTAATTAATGTAATGTAGCTCTTAATCTGCTACCAGTATAGGCCCAAAGAAGCAACATCAACCTTTTCCCTGGTTTGAGTATATGACAAAGGACACATTTTCTTGAATTATTATCTTTATTAAGACATTAGTAATGGATCTTCTATTCTTACTTTTGTGCTATTTTCATCCATGGGAAGTCCAACCAACTTATCCTGCAGTGAAATACATTTAAGTGTATGCAGGTTTGTTTCCTTGGTTAGTGATAGTAAAGGGGTTCAACTGGTACTCTACAATTAATTCCTATAGTTATTCCCATCATTTGTTAAACTGTCTAATGAATATGCCTCAGTGTGAAAACTCAAGGCACCTCCTGTTTTTATCTCAATGCTATAATCGTTTACTTCTAACCAAAGAAAATCCCTTACCACAGTCATTGATTTTTCACATAGTAAGTTCCACTGATTGTTTTCTACCCTTGGAATCTAATGAGTAGATGAATAGAGAAGAACTAATTAATTAATTTCTTTTCAGAAACGCTGGTTTCAGTGTTTTCTAGAACTGGGCAGTCTCCTCTGTTTTCTTTCTGCCTGGTTCTCAGTTTGAACAAAAACAAATGAAATTTTATCTGCCTCATAGTTTGTTTCGTTAGCAAATACCTGACCTCTAGTGGCAGGCAGTTAGTAATGATTTATGATGTAAAGTAAATTCTGCATATACAGAGCAGGAACAGGTAAATCCACAAAATTTCTCTCTTAAA